TATTCTCCAGGAAAGCTTCCCCAACCTAGCAAGGCAGGCTGACATTTAAATTCAGGAAATACAGAGAACACCAAAAAGATGTTCCTTGAGAAGAGCAACCCAAGACACATAATCATCTGATTCACCAGGGTTGAAATGAAGGAAAAAATGCTAAGGGCAGCAGAGAGAAAGGTTGGGTTACCCACAAAGGGAGGCCTATCAGACTCACAGTGGATCTCTCAGCAGAAATCCTACAAGCCAGAAGAGAGTGGGGACCAATATTCAACATTATTTAAAGAAAGAATTTTCAACCCAGAATTTAATATCCAGCCTAACTAATCTTCATAAGTGAAGGAGAAGTAAAATCATTTATGGAGAAGCAAATCCTGAGAGATTTTGTCACCACCAGGTCTGCCTTAAAAGAGCACCTGAAGGAAGCACTAAACATGAAAAGGAATGACTTGTACCAGCCACTGCAAAAACATACCAAATTGTAAAGACCATCGACACTATGAAGAAACAGCATCAACTAATGAGCAAAACAAGCAGCTAGCATCAAAATGGAAGGATCAAATTCACACATAACAATATTAGCCTTAAATGTAATGGGCTAAATGCCCCAATTGAAAGACACAACCTGCAAATTGGATAAAGAGTCAAGACCCACTAGTGTGCTGTATTCAGGAAACCCATCTCATGTGCAAAAACACACATAGGCTCAAAATAAAGGGAAGGAGAAAAATTTAACAAGCAAATGGAGAGAAAAAACAAAACAAAACAAAAAAAATAGGAGTTACAATCCTAGTCTCTGGTAAAACAGAATTTAAACTAACAAGGATCAAAAGAGACAAAGAAGGGCATTACATAATAGTAAAGATATCAATGCAACAAGAAGAGCCAACTATCCTAAATATATATGCACCCAATACAGGAACACCCAGATACATAAAGCAAGTTCTTAATGACCTACAAAGCAACTTAGACTCTGACACAATAATAGTGGGGGGCTTTAACACACCAGTGTCAATATTAGACAGATCAATGAGACAGAAAATTAACAAGTATATGCAGGACTTGAACTCAGATCTGGACCAAACAAACCTAACAGACATCTACAGAACTCTCCACCCCAAATCCACAGAATATACATTCTTCTCGGCATCACATCACACTTATTCTAAAATTGACCACAGAATTAGAAGTAAAACACTCCTCAGCAAGTGCAAAAGAATGGAAATCATAACAAACAGTCTCTCAGACCACAGGGGAATCAAATTAGAACTCAGGATTAAGGAACTCACTCAAAACTGCACAGCCACATGGAAACTGAACAACCTGCTCCTGAATGACTACTGGATAAATATGAAATGACCGCAGAAATAAAGATTTTTTTTGAAAGCAGTGAGAACAAAGATACAACGTACCAGAATCTCTGGGACACATTTAAAGCAGTGTGTAGAAGGAAATTTATAGCACTAAATGCCCACAAGAGAAGGAAGGAAAGTTCTAAAATCAACACCCGAACCTCACAATTAAAAGAACTAGAGGGGCAAGATCAAACAAATTCAAAAGCTAGCAGAAGACAAGAAATAACTTAAGAGCAGAGCAGAACTGAAGGAGATAGAGACACAAAAAACTCCTCAAAAAATCAGTAAATTGAGGAGATGGTTTTTTGAACAGATCAACAAAATAGATAGACCACTAGCCAGACTAATAAAGAAGAAATGAGAGAAGAATCAAATAGATGCAATAAAAAATGATAAAGGAGATATCACCATTGATCCCACAGAAATATAAACTACCATCAGAGATTATTACAAACAACTCTATGCAAATAAACCACTAAATCTAGAAGAAATGAATAAATTCCTGGACTTTAAACACCCTCCCAGAAAGTCAGAAAGGAAGAATCTGACTTTCTTAATAGACTAATAACAAGGTCTGAAATTGAGGCAGCAATTAATAGCCTACCAACCAAAAAAAGTCCAGGACTAGATGAGTTGACAGCTGAATTCTACCAGAGGTACAAAGAGGAGATGGTACCATTTCTTCTGAACCGATTCCAAACAATACAAAGAGAGGGAATCCTCCCTAACTCATTTTATGAGACCAACATCATCCTGATACCCAAACCTGGCAGAGACACACTAAAAAAGAAAATTTCAGGCCCATATCCATGATGAACACTGATGTGAAATTCCTCAATAAAATACTGGCAAACCAAATCCAACAGCGCATCAAAAAGCTTATCCATCATGATCAAGTCAGCTTCATTTCTGTGATGCAAGGCTGGTTCAACACACACAAATCAATAAATATAATCCATAACTTAAATAGAACCAAAGACAAAAACCACATGATTATCTCAATAGGTGCAGAGAAGGCCTTTGACAAAATTCAGCAGCGCTTTATGTTAAAATTTCTCAATAAACTAGGTATCAATGGAATGTATCTCAAAATAATAAGAGCTATTTATGAAAAACCCACAGCCAATATCATATTGAATGGGCAAAAGCTAGAAGTATTCCCTTTGAAAGATAAGGATGCCCTCTCTTCCCACTACTATTCAACATAGTATTGAAAGTTCTGGCCAGGGCAATCAGGCAAGAAAAAGAAATAAAGGTATTCAATTAGGAAAAGAGAAAGTCAAATTATCTTTATTTGCAGATGACATGATTGTGTCATGCAGAAGACCCAATCATCTCAGCCCAAAATCTCCTTAAGCTGATAAGCAACTTCAGCAAAGTCTCAGGATACAAAATCAATGCATAAAAATCACAAGCATTTCTATACACCAATAAGAGACAAACAGTCAAATCATGAGTGAACTCCCATTCACAATTGCTACAAAGAGAATAAAATAACTAGGACTACAACTTACAAGGGGTGTGAAGGACCTCTTCAAGGAGAACTACAAATCGCTGCTCAAGGAAATAAGAGAGAACACAATAGACAGAAGAAAATTCCATGCTCATGGATACGAAGAATCAATATTGTGAAAAAGGCCATACTGCCCAACATATTTTATAGATTCAGTGCTATCCCCATCAAGCTACCATTGACTTTCTTCATAGAATTGGAAAAAAACCACCTTAAATTTCATATGGAATCAAAAAAGAGCCCGAGTAGCCAAGACAATCCTAAGCAAAACAAACAAACAAAAAACAAAAAAAACCCCCACAAAGCTGGAGACATCATACTGCCTGACTTCAAACTATACTATAAGGCTACAGTAGTCAAAATAGCATTGTACTGGTACCAAAACAGAGATATAGACCAATGAAACAGAACAGAGGCCTCAGAATTAATGCCACACATCTACAACCATCTGATCTTTTAAAAACCTGACAAAAACAAGCAATGGGGAAAGGATTACCTATTTAATAAATGGTGTTGGGAAAAACTGGCTAGCCATATGCAGAAAGCTGAAACTGAATCCCTTCCTTACACCTTACACAAAAATTAACTCAAGATGGATGAAAGATTTAAACATAAGACCTGACACCATAAAAACCCTAGAAGAAATCCTAGAAGAAAACCTAGGCAATACCATTCAGGCCATAGCCATGGGCAGGGACTTCATAACTAAAACACCAAAAGCAATGACAATAAAAGCCAAAATAGACAAGCAGTATCTAATTAAACCAAAGAGTTTCTGCACAGCAAAAGAAAGTATTATTAGAGTGAACAGGCAACCTACAGAATGGGAAAAAATTTTTGCAATTTACCCATCTGACAAAGGGCTAATATCCACAATCTACAAATAACTTAAACAAATTTACAAGAAAAAAACAAATAATGCCATCAAAAAGTGGGCAAAGAATATGAACAGACACTTCTTAAAAGAAAATATTTATGCAGCCAACAGACATACGAAAAAATGCTCATCATCACTGGTCATTAGAGAAATGCAAATCAAAACCACATTGAGATACCATCTCATGCCAGTTAGAATGGCAGTCGCCAAAAATTCAGGAGACAACAGATGCTGGAGAGGATGTGGAGAAATAGGAATGCTTTTACACTGTTGGTTGGAGTGTAAATTAGTTCAGCCATTGTGGAAGACAATGTGGCAATTCCTCAAGGATCAACAACTAGAAATACCATTTGGCCCAGCAATACCATTACTGGGTATATGCTATGCCTAAGGGATTATAAATCATTCTATCATAAAGACACATGCACATGTATGTTTACTGCGACACTGTTCACAATAGCAAAGACTTGGAACCAACCCAAATGCCCATCAATGATAGACTGGATAAAGAAAATGTGACACATAGACACCATGAATATTATGCAGCCATGAAAACGATGTGTTCGTGTCCTTTGTAGGGACTTGGATGAATCTGGAAACCATCATTCTCAGCAAGCGAACACAAGAACAGAAAACCAAAATACACCACTCATAAGTGGGTGTCGAATAATGAGAACACATGGACACAGGGAGAGGAACATCACACACTGGGGCCTGTCGGGAGTGGGGGGCTAGGGGAGGGATAGCATTAGGAGAAATACCTAATGTAGATGACAGGGTGATGGATGCAGCACACCACCATAGCACGTGTACACCCATGTAACAAACCTGCATGTTCTGCACATGTACCCCAGAACTTAAAGTATAATAAATAAAATAAAAATAAATTAAAAAATCACTTTGGAAGCTAATTAAAAATGCTAAATCCTGCAGGCTGCTTCCCAGTGATCCTGCTTTATCACACCTGGTACATGGCCTAGGGATCTGCATTTTCATCCCTGGGAGATGCTGATGTATAAGTCCTCCACCCTCACCTGGAGAAACAGTAGCTTAGAGAATATTCATATTCATTCAATAAATGTAGAGCTTGCTGCATGTGGGACCCTGAGGTGGCACTGGGCAATACAAACAAGGATGAATAAGACCCTACCTGATTCCCACCCAGCCGAGAGCTGGAGCTTCCAAGGAGAATGCAGGGTCTGTGCCGCACAGTAGAACATCAATAAGAACCGTAGCCCAGAAGAGCAATGGAGAAAAGCCATACCTGGGCTTCTGCACCTTCGATGTTGTGGGAGAGATTTCCATTTTGTACAGGTTCTGAAGCATCACTGGATGGTGTCATTTCAACTTCTGTGCTGGTGCTGTTCGGAAGCTCGATTTTTTCTGTGATATAATTTAAACACACACACACACACACACACACACACACACACACACACACACACAAACACACACACACACACGTACACAGAGAAAGGGAGAGAGAGAGATAGCAAATGGAATCAATGGGGGCAAAGAGCAATATTGAAAAGAGCTTCCTAAAATGTTGGGCCAAAGCAGAGGATAGTGGTATCCCAGGGGTGATGAGGCCCAGGGCTGGTATTGAGCCAAGTGGGACAGGAATTTCACCGTTCTTCCCCACATCTTTCAGGATACCACCCTGAATCCTTAATAGCGCCCTGGCTTGCTGCTCTGGCATGGCACCTTACCCTGAGTGCCCTATCAGCTCCTATGCTATGCCCTTCTCGAGTCTAGGCAATTTTACCAGCTAGCTATTCAGGGACATGAACGTAGACATTTTAAAACCAAAACCACACCCAATCTACATACTATTGTTTATACCCGGGACTGAACTCTTCAGATATTTTCTTACAATAATACCTTTTCTTTCATACTGTACTCTGGAAATAATATTGGCTAGGGCTTCAGGGTCCTAGACTTTACTCTGCTACGATCAGGCTGTCACCTTAGGCTAGTCCCCTTCTTCCTCTGGGACTTGGGAACCTTATCTGTGAAATGAGGGGGTTTGACAGGTTGACCTCCAAGGGACATTATGTTCGGCTGTAATTCAGGCAGGCTCTGTGAGTGGAAACTCTTCCAGTGCCTAGGTGGCCATGGGCAGGGCAGGCTGGTGAATGCTACTTAGCACACTCCACACGGGCACATCCTATTGCAGGCAAGGCAAGGGGGAGCCGGACAAGTAATAGAGGCCAAAGCCTGTGTCATTCCTCAATCAGAGAGAACATTTGGCTAGAGTGAAGTCAGAGGTCAGCAAGTGCAGATCTGACACTTGAGAAGTGACTCTATGGTAATGGTTAAGCACTGGGACTCTGTCACACTGGGAACCAGACAGGCCTGGCTTCATATTCTGGATCGACAGCTTGTGCTGTGTGACCCTTAGCAAGTGACTCAACCTCTCTGAGATTCGGTTTCTTCATCTGTAAAATTGGGGTGATGGTAACAATACTGCTACTACTATTCCTGTTGCTACTACTACCACTAATAACAACAATAAGACAAGTATGACGAAAACAGTACTTCTGTAAAGATTAAATAAGAAAATGCATAGAAAGCATTTAGCACAGTACTTTGTGCAGAGCAATTAAGAAGCATAAACGATCTGGATCCTGATTATAGTGCCTGCCTTTCACTAGAAGAATTCTTTTTTATCATAACAAACAGGAGTACCTCCAGGTGATCAGTGTTTTGGCACCACTTGGGTCTGCTGAGGCTTCACTGGGAGGGAAATTTAAAGGTTCCTATTGAAAGCACACACTCTGGCTGTTTTAGGTCAAATCATGGATTTTGGGAGGAAATGAGGGTGTGGTATGCTGTCAGGGTTGCTGGGGGTATCGGAATGCTCATCAGTATCATATCTGAGCAGTATTAGCTGCTCATCAAACATGAGAATAAGCTTTTTTTCCCCCAGCAGCTTCAGGAGGACTAGACATTTCTATCACTGGTGCTTAAGAAAATAATTTGAGAGTTACATGAAAATTGTTGAGTTTGAAGCAGCCAAATTTTGGAAATCACAGGGAAATATTTACATTTATTTATGTATTTAGTTGTGAAATATAGACACACGAATAGATTTAAATATGAAAAACCATAGAAACTCAAATTTACTTTATCTTTCCAAGTTTTTAGTAGTGACAGCGATATGTATGTGATGCGGTGCGTGTGGCTATGGCAGTTTTTCTTAGTATGCTTGATTCAGTTATTTAAATAAAAAAATACTAAGAACCTTGGGTAAACATTAAAACTGTGTTTGCAGAAATCTACTGGCTGATGTGATACAACCTTAGGATCAGCCTGCAATGCTAAGTTGACCCTAGTAACACAGAATACTGCGTAAAAGAGGAGTGAAGATGTCCAAGAACAGAGATGAACAGTTGAGCACAGACTACCTGCCAGGCATAATACTGAACCTGTGTGTGCACATCTTAGCTTATAAAGTGCTTTTACACAGCAGGCTGGGGGCTCATAATCAAAGAAAGTATGAACATAAATCTTGGACTTACTTTGAAAAGCATTAGACATACAATATTTTCTACTTACAAAGTCATTCAGAGACCCAGTAACATTAGAAAGATCCTTGGAATTAAGTGTCCTACCTCCTTAAAAAAGATTAAATCCAAGTCTAAGCTTGGTCAGTCATCAGGAGGAGGACTAGGACTGAGCCTAGGAATCTTTCATTCTAAGCTACCTCATTCTACAAAAGACGAGTCAACAAGGGAAGTAGAAAAAATAACTTGTGTAGTTGAATCTAAACATCACAAACGAAACTCAACCTATGCGGTAGAGTTTCATGGCATGGCTTTACATTTTTATAGTACAAAAGTAAAATATACTTATTCTAAAAAACTTTATAGAAGCATAAAGCAGCAGAAAAAAATATATATAACTCATAATCCCAGCTTTAGGAAGTAACTATTGTTAACATTTTAGCTGACTCCTTTCCAGTTTTTCTTTTCATATCTAACTGCGTCTTAACTGTTTCTTGGCCAAAAATTTTCCCTGAGGTAGAAGTTAGGATGACAGGAGAGGCAGAAACTCTTCTATGGAGTGTCAGTATTTTGAGTGCAATGCTGTTGAATTTTGTCTGCAGATAATTTTAGTTACTTGGGCAATAGCTTCGTTTATAGCATAGATCCAGATCAGGTTAAATTTAGTTTGAATTTAGAATTAGAGAGCTATATTATAGTTACAGACAGGAGAGAAGGAACATCATGTTCCAAGTTAAAATAAGATGTCTGAATGTCACAATCTGGTCACACAGGAGCTCTGCAAAAGTCAGTGAAAAGAGACCTGGGGACTGTTATTGCTGAATTCTTAAGAAACAGGAGGCAGTATCATCTCAAAAGGACTCTGTCACTCAGTTCAGGAGTGACCAACTGTGTGCCAATAAGCAATGTCACAGGTAAAAAAATCTGGTTAGCAGGCAAGAATTACAAACGGGGGACTCTCACCTTTGGTTAAACATTAGATGACACTGTGTGTGTGTGCACGTGCGTGTGCGTGTGTGTGTATACTCTTTATGTGGAATCCCTGAAATACAGTGATTTTCTATTCTTGAATGGAGCTGACTAGTTAAGAGCTGGTTTTACTTCAGGTTCCTCAGAGAATAATTTTACTCTTCTTGGATTTCTAGAGTTATTGGTGACATGCAATGCCCATGCATACCCTGTTCCCACAGGGGAAGAGGGACTCATTTCCTGTTGTCCGGGAAAGGGCTGTGCTGCAAAGGTCTGTGTCTGCACCAAGTCAGGGGTTCCCACACTGGTTCTGACTCTCTGCTCCCCTCGCTTCCCCCAGGAAACGTATGGGATTGATGTTTCCCTGCACTTACCTACGTGGTTGGCAGCCCCATTCTGCCGCTCATTCTCATCCACATGACATTTCTTCTTGGCAATCTTGTGGAGAATTGAAGCCTTTTCTCTGAACCTCCCTGAAGCAGGAAGGAGACACAATGAGAAAGAAGATAAAGAGTCTCAGGGCCAAGCAGTTATGTGGCCGCCTCAGTCACGCTGTACTAACAGCACGATCACTCCATTCTGTCCAACTCTAATGCACCAGGACCTTCCTGAAGGGTACTTTCTTGCCTTTGTACATTTTTCAGCCCATTTTCTATGAGAATCTCTTCCCTCCCCTCCAAGTTGCTCATAAAATTAACAAAAGCACCAAGCATCACTAAAACTCCCCTACTGCTGAGCTCCAAAACAGGTCTAGAGAGAGCTGCTCTGGAGGCATGGCCATTTCTCTGGACTTAAACCCTCATCCCGGACCAGATTTTGACAATGGGCTGGGAAGGAAAGCCAAGCCCAGGGGTCCTCAGATTTGACTTCAGTTTTCAAACATTTACATGTTTAGTATCCCTAATCAAAAAGCCAAAATCTGAAATCCAAAACACTTCTGGTCCCCAGCATTTCAGATAAGGGATACTCAACCTCTCTTATAATTAACATTGCTGTTTCTAAATGGGTCAGGAGCATGCATCAGGGCCTTCCAGATTAGCTGAGTCAGCTGCAATTAAGGCATCAAGGAAGCAACTGATTCCATTTGTGGATTTAGGGCAAGGAAGGATCAACTGAGTGCAGCAAGTACTGTTGGTGATGAGACCCTTTGGGAACGGTGCCAGACATGCATCTTTATAGCAGCACAATTCACAAGTGAGAAATGGTGGAACTAACCCAAATCCCCATCAATCAATGAGTGGATAAGGAAACCATGGTATATATATATATACATATATATATGATGGAATACTATGTAGCCAGAAAAAGGAATGAATTAACAGAATTTGCAGTGACCAGGATGAGATTGGAGACTATTATTCTAAGTGATGTAACTCAGGAATGGAAAATCAAACATTGTATGTTCTCACCGATATGTGGGAGCTAAGCTATGAGGATGTAAAGGTATAAGAATGATACAATAGCCTTTGGGACTTCGGGGGGAAGAGTGGGAGGGGGATGAGGGATAAAAGACTACAAATATGGTACAGTGTACGTATGGGTGATGGGTGCACCAAAATCTCATAAATCACCAGTAAGGAACTTACTCATGTAACCAAATACCACCTGTACCCCAATAACTTATGGAAAAATAAAAAAGAAAGGTACTAGAAAAAATGCCATTCTCAAAATAATCATTTTAAACAGCTGTGCTACAAATGCATTGTTTAATTTCTTCTTCATTATTGACAAAATTAATGGGCAAATGCATGCAATAAGCAACAAAAAAAGCAGGCAAAAGTGCAGAGATTAGGGAAACAGCATTTTTCTTTTTTAATCCTTGAATTTCTTCTTTGGGAACATTTAAGATATAAAAAAAATTCTCATTTTAAACTGATTATTGCCTAGATTCAGATATGAGTGTCTCAAAACACCACAACCCCTACAGTTTTCCCACTAGGTATTTTTCTGTTGACTGTGTTCCCTAGCAGAATATTAACAGGGGCTCTCACTCTACTTTTCTATTTAGAACCAAATCAAATAAAAATGTTTCTTCCGGAGAGCTTCTTTTCCTAGGATAAAGCATGGCAGATAGTCACCCACTGCCTGCCTCCATGGTTTGGAATCATGGCATGTGGTCATAGTGATGACCTGTGTGACTGGCTGGGACTGACAGCACCTGTAAACTAGAGTCAGATCAATGGACTCCAGCGGTGAAAATGACACAAGCTGTGACCTTTTCTGCTCATGGCTCCATTAGTCACAAGCCTGGACACTGTCACAACAAAGGCAATCTCTAGGACATATGTACCTTAGTCTAGGCAATGAATGTGCACCACTGAGTACACTCTCAGAAGAGGTAGGAAGGAAAACATTTCATGGAGAAAAAGAGGACAGTGTGTGGCTTGGGCTGCCTAAGGAATGAGAAAGAAGGATAAGGTGATGGGCATGACTCCATCCGTGAGGAATGTTGAAGGTCAGCATTAGCTTCACTATCCTGGAAGGTAGCTTGAATTTGGTTGTTTCTATTTAATCTCCAAGGGAAACTCTGGGAAGAATAAGGGAAAGGAAAGGAAGCCTGGAGATTAGGAAAAGGAGGTGGTAAAGAAGAACAAGAAAGAATAGAAAAAAGAGAGAAAGAGGAATGCAAGGAAGAAGGAGGCAGGCAGGGGGCTATGATTGCCTGGAGGTTGTCCAGGCTGTGTGAACGCAAGACACTTTCCTGGCCACCAAACCAAGTCTTACTAGGAGACTAGATAAACAGACAACGAGAGTGAGCTTCAGTACTCTGCAGCTCTCAGCCTAAAGACGGGTTACTTCTTGCAGAAGATAACTCCAAAGAGTCCCAAATCATGTGCTTTTCCACCCAGAAGAGGAAAAAAGGAGGCTCTGAAACTTTATTGGAGATGAGGCTTCTACTAGTAAAACCATTCCATCATGGTCTGAGGGGCATTTTTGGAGCTTAGAATATCCTGCCACTCTAAGAAAGATAGATGATCAATATTTGCTATTTTAAAATTATACATAAAATAATAATAAAGCAGGAAAGCATTCAGAAGCAGAAACAAATAGGTCAGTGGAAATTAAACCTGAAATAACCCAACTTAAATAATGTCCCAAAGTCATGAATCATGCCAGAGAAAATATTGGATAGAAACCAGTTAATCACATATTGCTTGTGGTTATAAGGCTCTTTTCAGAGTTAAGGTGTGTGCCAGAGAGAAATGATAATAAAAGGGACCCAAAAGCATGGAAGCGGAGCGATGCCCTTTGCCAGGAAGCATCTTTCAGAACAGTGTTGGCCACTGGCACTCATGGGCTGGTCTTCCCCAAATCTCCAGGGATAATCTAGGAGAACAGGGTAGGAGATAACCCTAGAATTGGAATTTTATAGGTTCTCAGATATTTTGCAGGCCAGTGAGACTGCATGTTACTCTTTTCCCACTGCAGCAGCACCTCAGGTTTTCTGCACGATTGAACAGTAGGAGGGATTAGCCTTATTTGTATCCTCTTGGGACCTAGCCTTAGGGGCAGCAAGGCAAAGCAGCAAGACTGGTGGGGAACTGTCTTCTCCACAGACCTCTCCAACTTCTTCAATTCAGCCTCTCCCCTAGATGATTCTTTGTCCCAACTAATATGACCTGGGGAAGAATTTCCTGTCTTCCACTTCTATAATAATTGCAACCGTTTCTGAGTAGCAATTCCTAGGCCCTTGCTGTTTATCAGAGGCCATTGAAACATGCAATGGGTATTAAAAACGGAAGAAAAAGGGAAAGGAAAGGAAAAGACAGTCCATTGGACCGTCCAAGAACTGTATGAGGTGGATGCTCTTCTTATCTCCATCTTTTCTCTCTTTTTGCCCCATCATTACGTCATTCCACGACGTAAGTGCTGACAACGGCTGCTCCATAGCCTAGAAGGATTTTCCCTTAAAGACTAGTTTCTAGAAAGGGAGCAGTTGAGGGCCCACCTTCAGAATGTGGCACACACGTGTAATCCTTCAGGGGGGTGGGGCAGAGTGAGACAAAGCCAGATTCGCTGATTCCAGCCCATTGGACACCCCTGGGATCACAGGGCACCTTTTGAGAAATGCTGTGAGGATGAAGCTAACAGATACATGTGAGCATGAAGGACCGGAGGCAGAAGCCAGCAGAGAACCTGTGAGTTTTGAAGTGATCCTCTCTGCCTTGGGGTAGGAAGACATGGCACCTTCAGGACCTGCTCATCCCCAAGTCACAAGCTACGAAGAACAGCAACAGGGTGTGTATGTTGGGACAGCACAGTTTGATGGTTAAATGGAGGCTAAGTGGATGTGATTGAGAGGCAGGTAGATCTGAGTTCAACCCCTAGCTCTCTCAGTGTCTCTGCTGAGTGATGGGTGAGTTTCTAAATACTTCTGGGCTTTAGTTTTCTCATCTGTTAAGCAGGGATTCCAGTGGTATTGGTAGAGTTACTGGTGACATACTACGTCCATGCATGCCCTGTACTCATTTTCTGTCATCCAGGGAAGAGCTTAGCTGCAAGGGTTTTCTGTGAGAAAATGTGGGTAAAGGGCTTATCACAATGTGTGGCATTGAAAGAACTCTAAATAAGAGGAAAAATGAGAATCAAACAGAATCTCAAGGATAAGGGTGACGTGGCCCAGAGTTGCTCTAGGAGAATTGTTGCCATCTTCTCTTCTCTCAATCCACACAGGCTGAGCTAAATAATCAGCCACATTCAGACCCAGGAGTCGAAGCATACAGGGCCTTATTGGACTCGTATTCAGGTTTCAGTGAATCCCCCAAAACTGATTAGAAAAAGAATCATTTTAGATCTTTCTGCAATTAAGAAGGTCAAGGTGATAGAGCTGGCTTTTTGGGCTTTAAACATGGATATCTCTGCAATCTTAAAATGGGAAGATGATGATCAGTTTTCCCCCATCACCTGCAGGACCAAAATTCAGACCAAGGAACTACTGCTGCTACAAAATGCATTTGCTTAAAAGAACCTCATGATGCACTAGGTTCTTAACCGCTTTCCACTTCAGGTTCACAATGAGTAAGATGGAGACAAGAAGAGCATCCAGCTCATATAGTTCTTGGAAGGTCCAATGGTTTAATTACCCATTGCATGTTTCAGTGGCCTCTGATAAACAGCAAGGGCTTAGGAACTGCTACTCAGAAAGGGTTGCTATTATTATGGAAGTGGAACACAGGAAATTCTTCCCCTAAATTACTGAAAACAAGATTGATATTTAAAATAGAACTGATGCCTAGCAGCCTCAGGTGCAGACCCCAGCGGTAAAGGGATTGCTCAGATATTTTAGGCACAGATTCCAAGATATTTTAGGCACATATTCCACCCTAAAGGGTGGCATAGAGGAACGAATCTAAGAAATGATTGTGTAACTGTGCTGGCGAAAAAGAATTATGATATTTTTGAGTACTTTTCAAGGTGAGCGAAGGAGTTATTTTTAACGTCTTTCGAGGCAACTTTAAAAAATATACTCTCT